AGGTACTCTTCACACTGATGAGGGCAGATGGACCAAATACAGCAAAAGTTGTTTGGGAATTGGGATCCTTTGTAAACAGAGCACTTCAGTTTGTACTATTATTTATTCAGTGCTTCAGTGTAGGACCTCGTTTAAATCAAGTGGAACACCGCATAAGGGTCATTTGTGTAAATAAATACCATTTGTAACAATTACTCTTAGGCTCTCTGAATAATGGACGAAAGTATTCTAAAACTCCGATTGTTCCAAGACTTAATGATATTTGCAGCTTTTTATTATTTGTCACAAAAACAAACATACTTTTATGTACGAATACGCGCCTTCCGAGATCCGATATGTTAAAACTGCATAGGGAGAAGGAAGAAGCATTATCATGTCATATAAGCATAACTAAACTAAACTCTATATGGATATGAACATATACTATGGAGGCCTGACATTTAGTTTACAGGAATTATGAAATACGCAATGACAAAAAGGACTATTACGAACATCATATGATGACATGATGTCCGTTAAGTTATTCATATTTATAGACACATTAGGAGGGCTGTCGACTTACCTGCATACATAAAAAATGAATATGAGCGTGTCGCAGCTAGATTAATACAACTACAGAATTGATTAAATTCTGTTCTTAGTATTTTTTTTACTATTATTTAAATACTTTAATGTCTTCTACTTATAGTCACCGTATTGAGTTTTCTGTTTCGTCATTGTTATATGTATAATGTTATGTTATATATATAAAGTTGGTTTATAAAATAGTTATAGAATATAATAGTGCAGTGATTTAAAAGGAAACAAATGTAAATACTTACCACAGACCTTTATAAACAGAGTTTCTAGGTCTAGAAAGACCTCTAGGTCTTTCTAGACCTAGAAAGAGAGTAGACCTTTATAAACAGAGTCTCTAGACTCTGTTTATAAAGGTCTGTGGGATGGCTTTTCAGATGAGTATCGTAATCCTGCAAGCGACGAATATCCGACGTGCATCGTAAAATCCGACAAATCACCTCCCGCGCCTTGGGATAAACAACTACTCGTAAATGGAAACTTTTAATTCGGTTCAAGAATTTGCTACCAGAACAAAATTATTGACGTTAAATAATGACCCCATGAACAGTGGAAATTAAAATTTCAAATGATTATTAAAAAAGAAGCATTATTTCAAAGATTAGTTATACTTATATTACTGAAATGATATCATACCTATAATAATATATTACTAAAAAAATTATTCTTCAATAATATTATTTTTGAAAAGATCACTTTGTTCAGTTCAGTGTCGCCAAATAGTTTGCTTTCTAAGCTCTGTTTTAGTTGAACGTTGAGATACCGGAGTAAACTCATAGAATAAGAGGAATGATATCTTAGTCCTCCAAAATTTTAATGCATGAGTATTATCACGGCCGTCATATAATAAGTATTCTATCGTGGTATTTATAGGGCTGTTGTTTGACAACGGTTATAGGCACTTACCATCAGGCGAACCGTAATCTTGTTAGCCATTCCAATTATTTCAATAAAATATATAGGTATCTGAAAGCAATTATAACAAAATTAAATCAAATTTGTGACTGATAGGTTTCAGTCGTGATACAGGATTAATAAATCATCTATAATTAACATCATAAGAACAGTGCTATTAATACTATTACTATTTTCTGATAAAATAATCCTCTTGAATTAAATATGTCAAAAATAAAAGCCACTACAAAACCGACCTACTAAAAAATCTAAATATCCTAAAAATAAAAATTCCATATATTGAGTACTACTTTAAGTAAAAAATCCTTAGTTGAGGTATGTTTTGTTAAAACTTTATTATAAATACATCATATCTATATCTGTGCTCAGTTCTTGTGCAGTAGTTACATGCTGTCGAACTAATTGTATTATACAATATATTATGACTACTGACACAACTATTTCATATCTTTAGTATTATTAATACTACAGCTTACTGAAAATATATTCTTGTAATTTTTAACCAGTTCAAGGCCTCTACGTTTGTAATTCTCTGTTTTGTTACTATATATTTTACTAATTTCAACGTAATATTTCAATTTATGAAAGAGAAGATTTCTTTCGTTTTGACTGGAAATGTTTGTGGGGACGTTTACAAAAGTTATGCTATGGTTGGGTACTTAATTATAAAAACTAAATGATTTACAAATACAGAAAGAATAACAACGTTGAGATGTTACATTACTGTGGGCGTTAAAATGTATATTAAGTCCGTTAACTATTTTAGTCCCTCATGCCTTATATTGAATCTATACTATCAGAAATTATAAACAAATCCATGTCCTATTTATAGGTACAATACACATAATACCAAAAGTACACATGGTGGACTGTGCAGAAAAAGTTGTAGGAGGTATATAAATAATGATGAGGAATCAATATCGCATAAAAAGTATATACATGTTCACACATACACACACACATACTCATTCATTTAATATATGTGAAAAAAATATATATAATAAATATATAAGCATATCTAATAGTCTGACAATGAAATAGGAAGAACAGCCAATAGATAGACATAACAAAGAAGATAAGAGAATCAGAAAAAGATTAGGTCAGAAAACTATAACGTAGAAAAAGGGCGAATATAGAGAGAGATGTATCATAATCTTGTATATATGTATAATAGTATTAAATTTCGTTAATAGAATGTCATTGAATTCATTATGACCTTTTAACTGTTAGAAATAATATATAATAGAAGATAAAAGTCAAAGTGTGTTACTTGGCAATGTTATGTACGTGAACCGTCGAGCATGATCAGAATTAATAAACCCGTTGAATATTTATGAGGCCACATAACAAAAATGCACACTCTATGAGGCAAATTCCTATAACAAAAACTCAAAGGCTCAATCAATAGCGATTCAACTCCTAAGAGATCTTAAATTTACTCTTACTATACCTACATCGATATTGATAATTTTTTTTTCTTATGTTGGACGATAAATTTAAGAGATATTCCTAAAATTATTAAGAGACATTCTTATTTTATATTATGGATGTTCACTCTCTTGTACTGAAATAAGTGCGAACTAGAGCTTAATATATTTCATTTTTACTAATTTGAATAAACATTACTATCTTACTCGAGAAACAATGTAATTCGTAACCGTAATAACAATCAAATTATTTCATAATTACTGCATTATTACTGGAAGCCTGTAAAGTAAAAAAACTAAATGTAACCTGTATTCATTACATATCTATAATATATATATATAGAAATATAATATAAATATATAGCGATTTCAGACGAGTTCGCTAACAAACACTGTGATACGATATTTCTACATATTAGATTTTAAAAGATAGTAAAAGAACCTATGTTTTCTATTTACTGATAATGTACTAGTTGTATACACCACTCTATCGAATAGATAAATACCTATTTGTGCGTTTCATGACTCGTATCTAGTGAAGCAGCGTCGTAACAAAAAGTAGGTATTTCCATATCAGAGATCACTATAGTAATAATAATAATCTTTATTTTTAATTTTTTGCATATTGTAACTGTTCACTGGTTCCTAAAATGTTCTTTACGCTCTTTAGCAAAATTATTGGAAAGTGAGCGATAGTAGTTATATATAAGTCGTGTATTTAGCATAATATGCATTGTGGCCCTGCTCTAGTTGAATTCGTCGAAGATTGCGAAATTTTGTACCCAGCCACAATCAACATAAACTGCACGCAGTTGGTGCGTGCATTTTTTTAAAATATATATATAATATATATATTTTAAAAACTTTCACTTTCTACGTATATTATATTAAATCATTACATATCGTACATACGTAGTACGAGACGTAGCAACAATATTAGATATTACTATTATCTTATATATTTCTTCCTCGTTGTATGTTATTGTAGAAAAATGTCTTACATTACATAATTATATAATATGTATACACGCCTACAATTCTAGGTATCCAGAAGCATTGTAAACCGGACGATTGTTAAAATATCTAATGTTTCTAGAGTTACCTTTAATAATAACGAATCATTTCAACAATAATAACACTCACTATTGAACTGAAAAATTATTACAAAAAGAATTTAATTCATAAATGCACAAAACAAAAGGCGGCGGTCTCTAACAGACAATCGCAAAATTTAAATTGTGTATTGTTACTTTTAACTTTCGTATTTGACGCGTTATGTGGATAAATAAAAATATTTGTTTAAGGATAGAACCATTTCTCACTTGTTTCTCTCTGTGTAAAATAAGGAATCCGATATGAATATATGCAATACACTATCCAATCAACAGATCTCCAGGTATTTCTCGTCGAGTTTTTTCATGTGACGTACATGTGAATGTACTTATTCACTTACTGTAAGGATTTTTAAAAATTCCCACTGGGGTAGAAATGTGTCTGTCGAGGCGAGGTGTTTCATATAGTCTATAAAGAACATGTGCAGGTGTATGCTCCGATCAGAATTTATTGTATTTACATTTCATTATAATATTTTATATTCATTTCATATACATTTATTGTATGTTACGTTATTTTTCGTTATAGCTTAAATCATGAAATCCGAATCATAAAGTTTTGAATTGTTGTCTTGGTCTGTGCCTCGTCAGGAGTACTCGGATTTCAGTCATTTTTTGGAACGATTAATACTAATAATAATAATGTTATATAATAAATTATTTAAATAATCGCTACATACAGATTATTTGGTAAAATCACTTATATCTATTTAATTTTATAATGTAAATTGTAACATATTTTAATCGAAGTCATTTAAAAATAAGTTGTATTGTTAATTAATCTAGATACATTTTTAAGACCTCTACGAAGCTGAAGTTCTCAGATCAACTTAGTAATAAATTATGATCTATATAACAATGCTAGTGTACCTAACTTACCGTGATTGGAACTGAATACTGTAAGTCGCCTTCAGATTGTTAATAAGAAGTAATTTTAATTGAATTTATAACATTTTATCTTTTCTTTCAGATGTGGTGGGGGCTATGGTGCGTGGTTGTGGTGGCTGGCGGGGCTAGTGCCGCGATGGCGCCCGCGCCTGATTCCCTCCCACCACTCACACCTCTCGACTTAGTACAAATTGACCCTCCTGCTCCTGATGACGTAAGCTTTAATATATTTTTTATCAATTGAGTAAATAGGAACAAAATTTTCTTGTTTGTTTGTTATTGTCACTTCTAGATACATTGTGACCCCAACACAAAACAGGTATTTTAGAATTTTGAAGGGATTATCAATAAACAGTTATTTTTATAGCAGAGATTTCAGCGACTATCTCTCTAATTCTCCATATATATTTTCTCTTCGATTTTCCACGGTAAACATAACTGAACTATATTTTTCGAGACATTTTCATGTCATTCGGTTTTATCTAGTAGATATGATAAGAGAGTGTGTTATGAATATGACTTTTAAACTTTACTGTTACTCAAAATAAAGTACATATTTGTTTTTATTATTCAAATAAAATGTATTGAAAGCAAATAAAAATCGGATCCATTGTCGAAAGAATAAATTTCGTAGTTGGGAGGTATATATTTGCTTTGATTTACATAGGCAGGCCAGTGTGCGTGAGCCGCAAGGCAAGTGAGTAGTTTATTGAGGTATTTTTTATTATAGAATACGTTAGTTTTGTTCACTAGCTGGAAAATTATACGAATCCGCTTCATCGAATGTGCATAAAAGAGGATTTTATTTTTCTTATTAAGTATTACTACTGTATAGCTGTCTGATAGATTTCTACAACATATATGGAAGTATTTCTAAGCATTTGCAATTATTTATAAAACTAGGAAATAATACATTAATCCTCATAATTAACGGTACAGTATTACTATATAATAGATTCATATTTCTGTCATATATATAGATTTATAGTCGTAATCTTACTAATATTTTAAACGCAAAAGTTTATGAGTATAGAAGGATGATTGTCACTTTTTCACGCAAAAATACTGATCGGATTTTGATAAAACTTTACAGTAATATAGCTTATACATCATATAATAACACATATTTTATAAATTTCATGCCGGTAAAACCGCGGGCGCAGAAGGTGGAAAATAATAGAATGTACATAAGTAATTGTAACATAATATGAATATATACTCGCAATAAGCTTTCAATTAACGTTAAAACACCTGTGTCTGTATCTTTAGTTTACTAATATTATTATACTGGTGGTAAATAATTCTTTATGATTTATGTGTTTGTTATTAGGAGAGTGTCAGCTATGCTGTACCGGCAATGGGAGGCCGCTATGCGGGCTCACCCTGGCTTTACTTACTCGCTGAGATGCCACACGATTCACAGGTATTGTGATACAATTTAGTTTTAAATATTTTTGATAAAGTTTATGTATCGACGTAATTGATATCATACATTTTGAAAATTATTTGATGACATAAAGGCACATCTATAATTATATATAATATTTAGTAATAATAATAAACCGTCACGACGGTAGTACCGTAAGGTAAAACATAGTCTATAAAACTAAAACTATATCTATCATATCACACCACCAATGTTTTGGTGTCTTGACGCTATAACTAGAGCGCCCATATGTCTCTGTATATATATTTAATCCAATGAATACGACAAGTGGCTAGTCTACAGCCGTCTACGGGATGAATTTTGAGATTTGTTGATAACCGATGGTGTTTTCATCACTGTAAAGTCAGAATAAGAATCGACATATATTTTTTTAGTGTCGGCCAAATCCCAATTCAGGACTTTTCGATTCATGTAACTACTACGTCAAGACGCTAAATAAATAATTATTTCATAAATATTTAAACATATATATTTCTATAATTTATTATTTATTTACGAACGTCACGAAAACGAAAGCCTTCTTGTATTTCTTTCTGTAATCTACATTTTCAATTAAACAGATAAAGACATTTTGTATCGTTAATGAGATTAAATATAACTTATATATTACGTAGCTACATCTGAATGAATCCGATTCATGGATACTACTTGAATATAATTAAATAATGAAATCCTTGTTACAAATAATGACAGTGTGAACACATTTTCCTCGATCAACGCAGTGCTAATTAAATTTTCCAATTCTCGATTATATTAATTTTATTTCATTTCGAAATGTACGTAGTCATCACTTGGTTGTTTTAGCAAATCGAGTAATTGGAGGTCGACTTTACAAACTCCATCTTATTTAATTGTTCAACATTTTCTCAGTCCTTTTTACGAAGGTTCTAGGACTTGGTTTGTAATTAGTTGAACAAATTACAATGTCAACAAGAGACGGGTCGTCCCAAAGAGATTTAAAATTGGCAGAATATTTATCAAAAGAAAAAATAATGAATTTTCGATTTTTAAAATCTCAATACTGTTTTTCAATAAAAACGTAAATACATAAAAGTGATAGAATATTTTTTTATATGTATTTATGTATGTAATATTTTGAACAATATTATGTAGTATTAAAAAGATTTGAATGAAGGTGACAAGTAGCAACGTGGGGTTAAGACGTCAACGTCGGGATTTCTCTGTGAATCCGGCAGTAGATGTGCTGCAACGGGGTGTGTACAACAGCCTCGTGGAAAGACTCGTACAAAACAACAGGAGTTACCTCAACCGTGTTGGAAAACGAGGTGAGACGACGCAGGAAAATACATATTTACCATTATATAAGTCGACAACCAAATGGATTGTCGTATCACACGTTTAGGTAATTATCAATTATAAGTAAGTTTGAAATAAAGTATAAGAATTGATGTGAATGAGTAGAGATATTGATGTTGATGATATATGTATGACACATATGCATGAATTCGTTAACAAATAATAGGTTGTGTTACAATATGCAGATAAATGTAGTCCCGTAGTTGAGATGTAAATAAAATAATTAATAGAAAGTAGAATAGCTAAGTAACAATGCATGAAGCCCTCTATGTTAGTTTTATAGATGTATGCAAATGATTATTACATTTTTATTATTTTTTGTAGCATCCAGGGAATAATTACGATTGAAGATTGAAGAAGAGAAGGACAACTAGTCATAATTATTCATTAGTATCATTTAAGTACCTTGAGAATACTGAAAATTTCTCAATTAATTGCTTGTAGATAATTTGAATAACCAGTATTATTTATTATAATAATGGTGTTATTAATTTATTATACTATTTAATAGATAATTTTTTAACAGTAACTTAAGTTTTCCCTGACCATAATTAGGTTTTACCCAACAAAATATTTCTTATTCATCAGAAAAACTAAATTACATTCTTAATTGTGGTTAACTATATTCTTTAAGTCTTATTAGTGGTCTAATTCTTTATCATATGTGTCAATGAAATATTATTATAAAGTAATTCAATTTCTACCTACACTGCAAAAAATTATATTCATAAATCTAAATTATATTCATAATCGACTTCCTTAGTAAATGTTTAATAATCGCTTTAGTGTCATACAAATCTTCTATTATAATCTTGTTAAAAATATAGATTCAAATAAATATAAGTTTATATTAAAACTGATTTTTATTATCTCAATAACACACACGTAAAAATAGCATCCAAATAATAATTGAATATTCTACTCTGGTAAGTATTATCCATACTTTATTTATGTATTTATTAAACAGTATCCTAAAATAAAATACATTTACATATCCGGTTTCCACAGGAAGTACATATATGTGATCCGTCGTATACTCACTCTCTCTGAAGACTACTCAGGATCTATTAGAGTTAACATTATACAGGATAGCTGTGGCCGTTTCCGCAGATTGTATATAGTAGTAGTAGGTATGTTGCACAATGAAAATCAGAGGAAGAAAATTTACGACTAAATAGAACGTCTTATTTTTTTTTTAAGTGCTACTAATAAAGATAAATGAATAAAAGATTAAGTGTCCAATATTATTTTGTTAACTGTTGTGAACCTCATCAGACTGTCATTTTCCTTTCATTTTATTCAGTATTCTTTACTAAATAATACTTTATTTAAAGATATGTAATCTTTAAATAAGATAATATTTAATAAAGAATACAGATCGTAAATTTATATGCATGCATTTTGAGTAAATTTAAATATAGTAAAAAGTATTACCACAGATAACATAATATTACATAATAATATGCATGTACTTAATATAGTAATATTTCCGTTAAAAGTTTCCGTATAAGGAAAAATTCGGTAGCAAACTGGATTATGTGGTATATATATACGTGAGTAGTTTCTTTGACTACTGTCACAAAATGTTGCAATAATAGTGTTTACAATATTTTTAGTGTATCTGTTATAGCATTCAAACAAACATCTAAATAGAGGTTAAGAGAATTTATCATCTATTATACGAATATCTCTATCTGAACGTATGAAATAAAAGTTAAAAATATTACTTAATAATTAACGGGCTGCCTTTATAACTACAATAAAAATGTGAAATATATCACATTAATAAATTACAGCAAAAATAATTTTGGGACTGGTCTGTAATTTTATTAATTATATTTAATTTTATGTACGGTACACGGGTTTCCCTTTGCGTAAATTACAGGTCCCTATGTATTAATTAATTAGTTTTAATTCATTAGTCTGATGTAAATTAATAAAGATGAATTTTCATTTTTATATCAAGCAAGACAATGAATTTCAATAGTTATTTTCATTATAATAAAATAATCCAATAATACAAGTCTGACCACAGATGCAGTAGTAATAGCATTGTATAGTGGCGTGGCTGTGGTGAATAGAATAAGATAACCGATATAATTAAAAAATAAATATATATTTATACTATACCTGATAACAACTCTATTTAAGCGTATAGGGTTGGTAAAATATAAAGAGAGTACCATGGAAGACATTTTATATTAGAGTATACGGTGTACAATATACCGTAGTCACCAGTCGAAGAATATAGGTTGAACATGTTAAGTTAGTTAGCCCCTCGTGTGGAATTTCCACAGGAATTTTCTACGACGGTTGACAGGAGGATCGCATAGAATTTGGGGACTGATCATCCCATTGATGGGAATGTAGTAGAACATTGTTCCCACCACTGACTTACTACTCCACCCCGATACAATAGATTGTGTTGCTATTTATGCTACTGTTATAATAATGTCAAAATAAACGTGAAAGTTTGTCCCTTTGTTATTCCCTCGGGCTTACACAGCTAAACGAATTTGTTTGAAATTTCCTACAGGAGTAGGCCGTGTCCTGTACATTTTTTGTCACTATAATGTATTTCAACGAGATAATTTACAAAACGCAGGCGAAAGCGTACAAATTTATAAATAACATTTATCAAACATTTAACATTAAACATAACAGTATTTTTGTTTATATCGTAACGTATATGTAATATTTATTTAATATAAACGCTAAGCCATAATTAAGTTACATCAATTTGTTTATTAATAAACACGAATACATACTTTCTGTATGTTATAGTATCCCGTAGTTTTATCAAATGAATTATAGTACAAAGTAATATTAAAACATTATATAATTGTTGTACCCAAATTCATTCAAATCTATCCACCAGTTTAAACTTGGCTGAGTAACAAATTAAATCATCTAAACAACAAAATTTATTTTCTAATGACATTGACTTAGTAGGATCAGTTATCAAAACAAGTAAAGGTATGAAATAGCTGTTAATACATGGCGCGTGATGGTGGAATGAAGGTTGGCCGCCAGCGAGAGAAGCGCCGCATGCCATCTCTGTCCATCGACCTGCCGATGTCCGTGCTGCGGCAAAAGTTGAACCTCGAAAAGGAAAGGAAGGTCCAGGCGCTAAGAGCTGCAGTTAATAGAAACTTCTTGAATGATATTGGCAAGCGAGGTAGGTACATTTCACATAACAAGAAATGTCTGTAAAATAATTTTAATTGCGTCCACAAGCATCTATCTGTTTAGTAATAATTATGATACACTATACATAGACATCATATAGTGTACTGCAGTAATCAACAATTAACGTCAGACGCATATATATATATAAATAAAAGGATAATAATTTTAAATATAAAGATATATAATAAAAAAAATTAAGAAAATAACTTCTCTCTTCCATTTCTCAATTGTGATCCGATTTTGATGACTCTTTATTTAATTGAAAACATTTTGTTCCAGATTGAACCAAAATTAGTTTATTAAAAAAAAGTGTTTCTTATGCATCATTTATTTTTATTCCATAAATGATACTTAATTAAAATTTATTAAATTATTCTAAGACATATGTATAAATTAGTAGGGGGTTTTTATCTTTCAGATTTAGTCATCTTATGTAACACCAGGTAGCCTAATCAAATTTACAAGTTTAGAAAGTAACGTAACGTATGTAACATTAAAGGATTCAGAGTTGGGTATCGGTAAATTGATTAGTTTCAAACATTGTAACTTAATTATTGTACTATTTTTTTACTCTTTTCATAGTTCCAATTTCGTTTCGATACTTCAATATATTGGAGTGTACAGACATTGAAATAACATTTAATGATTGGCAATAACATTTTCTTTTCCTCTTACAGGCTGGAAGTGGTCTCCTTCGATAGAGGCGGGTAATCTTTAAGCACGTCTCCCCAACTGTTCCAGAATTTCTGTATACCTACTCTAGCTTATATACCCACAAAATAATGAAGAGATACGCAATAAAAATATGTTACTGATCGAGTGAAATTTATCTAATTAAATCAATACATATATAATTAATATTAAACTGTAGATAGTTATTTATATTATATAGATTCACTGTTTTAATAATGTGATCTACGATACAGATGCACCGAATGTTTTGTCTAGTATGTGAAGTAGTTTTATTTAGTTAGTGAAATTATTTAATTTTTAAGGAAAATTAGTAATTTAATTGTCATGCTTAGATATACTTATTTGTATAAAATACCTGGCCGTTTGGATGTAATATTTATTTCATATGGATATACCTGTTACAAAAAATGTCGTGAACTGTATGTAATATCATTAATCCTTATCATGACATGCCATATTTAAGATAATAACTTTTTTACGATAATTTTATAGTACTCATCTATATCATGATGATGAGTACAGTTAACAATAAAAAAATATTATTTCCGTGCAGTATTTTCATTGAAATGGGTAATTATTGGTAGATTTTAAGTAGATTTTAAATTAAAATATGTTGTTAATACATAATTTGAATAACTTTACTGGTGTTCTGTAACTTAGATCATAATTAGAATAAAATGGTACAAAACAAGAAAAGACAATAAAAGTTGTCCACATTATTTATTGTTTTATTTATATTACTTAATCAACGTATTTCTAATGCTACTTAGTAAATCCACAGAATACATAAAATAGTTAAATTGACTAATATGTGCTTACATATTATATGTATTATTTTTCTTACCTCGTTAAATCATCATTCCTGATATTATATTGATTTAATTTAAATATCAGTATTATCAATGTCTAGTTTATTTTTAATTTCATTAACATCTATGATGTACTTATGTCCAATAAAATTGTCTTTGCCTCAAACATTAATTTAGATTTTAAAATACAGTTTATAAAACAAAATTCACTTTCGAGTGTTCTGTAATATACAATAAAAAATTTATACCTACATTGTGTAAATTATAGAGCGCGAAAATTGTTATCTTCTCATTATTGAAATGCTCGAAATGTGAAACATTCAACTTCGAATAACAATGTTCTTAAATAACATATATTTGGTATATCTAATTATAATATATAGCATCAATTTTATATAAGCTCTGAGTAGGGTCGAGGCTAATGTATAGGCTCACATATCATCTTGTTCAACGTAACATGCCCTGTAATAAACATAGCTTTGTAGTTATTTTTGAATCAGAATAACCTAATTTGTCATACAGATTCAAATACAAAAAAGTGGATATATTTAGCTTTGTACTATCGTGAGAAAATTGCGACTTTAATGCAATTTTTGTTTATGCATCAATATATATTATATTTCACTGTACATGAGTTCTTGAAACCCAATGTAGCAATTTGGATAATACAGATAGAGCCTAAAAATAAAAAAAAATTCTATTATAAACTTTTATAGCTCTGCACATATTTATCTACAATAATATTGTCAGCTTATATGCTTATGGAAGATAATGCCAGAGATATCCTGTATCTAAAAATACATTTTTTGTTTAAGTAAAAAAAATAATCATCTACTCCACATCGGCCACTTAATTAGCCATATCAATTTCAACGAACTTAATTACCTATGCCTAGTGAATAAAAACATGAATAATAGATCATCATCTATCTATCTATCATCCATTTAGACACTGAACAAAGCAGTTATTAAATTTGCAGTTGTTATAGTTTTCGACTTTAAAAAAATAACGATCTTTAATATCGTATAGATCTTAGTTAGTTCGAAGGTGATATTGATGATTCTTTTTAATAGCAATGTAATATTTGTTTAATCTAGTATTTATATTTTATATACTAATAATTATAACACAAGTCTAAAGAAATTAAACTTTATTAAGGTCATACGTAAGAGCCAAATAAAGAAATCTGAATATAATATATGCCAATCAGAATATATATAATGCTAAACAATTCTTTTAATGTATGATAATAACATATTTTTTCCGCATTAGCATTAGCGGTATACAGTGCGATAACCAATGCTGAATTAACCACTCACTGATTAACCAGTCATTAGTTCCCATTACGAACAATGACCTCCCCTTCAAACGAAGAAGAAGTAATCACTAGAGTGGATGATAAAATGCAATGTTGTGGCATATCATCTTTGTGGAGGAACGAGAGTAGTCACCTTTTTTATATTAAACAGTGGGTGAAACCACTGGGACAGCTAATCACTTCTTGTGGTAGTAATATGAAATTTAACGTGGCAGTTGGGGTTTATACAGAGGCTGAGTGAGCTGAATGAAGGTCACGCGCGAGCGAAGCGCAAGATGCCATCGCTCTCAATCAACAATCCAATGGAAGTGCTTCGGCAGCGGCTGCTTCTAGAAGTGGCCCGTAAGCAGATGCGCGAAGCAAACCAAAGGCAGGCCGTCGCCAACCGACTCTTTTTGCAAAACGTCGGTAAACGAGGTAATAATATTCAATAGAAATAATAATAAATACTCAGCCAGGGACCAGGTACTCACTATTGCCTATCAAAAATGAAACGAAAAGTGAGTTTAAACTTTATAATCAGACTCTCTAGGTATATCCTACTTGGACTGCAAGTAGAATTTAGATATAGAGCAAATTCTCATTTTAATGATATCAAAGATATAAAAATAATATCTCGTATATATTTACGTGACGTAGGTAGTTAAAAGGCTAAATATAGTTAAAGATAAAATAATTAATTAATGGAAACTTAATTAAAAACTCCATATTAATATTACAAAGACCAAAACATTTGACTTTGATTTGTTTCTTTATATGTAATGGACAAAGTCTAAGCATTCTTGATGCAATTTAACCATTATTTTATGTATACAAAGCTACATGTAATACAGCTACATAAAACTAAGTATATCAGATAGTAAAACAGTATCATGTGTGGTCAGCACTGCTGAATACAGGTAAAAATATATTTATTTATCGGAACCGAAAATATTCAACATTTTAAGTAATTACTTTTTTAGTTCTCGTATATTGCTAAGTTCATTAATTACGTAGTAGATAAGTCTCCATGTAGATTAAAATTTCGATTAACATGTTGTAATTACGTATGCCCTATTTCAACGTAATACGTACAAAAGTCAAAAGTACTCGTAATTTTGAATTGTTCACCAACTTCTAAAACAAAGTTCTGTATAGCGGCATTGTCAAATGGTGTTATTGAATTTCAAAGATTATAGGTATAGTGCGGCTGCGGTTAAATTGTCCCCGTGATAGTTTATCGTTCATTGCATGCGACTGAAACAGTCCCCAATGGATTTATTACAATCTCTTTTGCTTTATTGTGTCACTATTTCGTTTATGAAATTTAATAGTAATTTTAACTTGTCAAAAAATCAACATATTTGCAATATATTGTAAAATACTTTCTTAAAAATAAATTTACCACAGTAATGAAATTAAACTGTCATAAAAGCTAATATACTGGCTGATAAGTTGCAATGTACATTTTTTTATATGAAAATAATGGAAGTAGCAGTGTTATTGCATCCATATAATCCTTATTAAATTTAGTAATCCGAAAATAGGCACCTGGTGCAGAGATAGAGTGCACTCTAGTGCACTAGTACTTAAATAACTCTAATGTATGTTATATCTATATAACATACAAGTTAAATTTCTATAAAATACAATCACTAACAATCCGTCCCCGTTATATAATCTGTTTTAATATCAAATTTCACTAAGATCTGTTCACCCGTTTTGTTATGACAAACGGATAAATATGTAGAAAGTCACGCTTACGCATTTACAATATTAAGTACAAAAGTATGGATTCATATCTATTAATAACTGTTCTCATTTTTGCGTGTCGCATAGGATTCTGGGCAAAAACTGCTTCATCCCGCTACGATAACTAGAGCCGTTGGCCACTGACCTTTCCGTCGCTGCAAGCTGTTGACACTACCTGGCTGGAGCAAGATGCTGCGTCAACTGAACAAACACTCCATATACGACCGATGTACCGATGACTTTGCAAAACCACGTAGATTTAATATTTATAGGAATACACATTGTAGTCTAACAAAGGAATTTTCTGTGTGTCTAGTCAGTAATAGGTATGTAATAAATTATCAATTTATTAAGCTATATCTATACATTTTTATAAATAATTATTTAGTTTCTGCATATTATACAAAATTTCATCACATATATAAATTATGAATTACAACTATAATAGTTACTTAAAAATGATAGATTTGGCTTATTATTATAAAGTACAGTATAATGAAGTTAAAATATTACTATCAATTAATTAACGATAATTAAACGTTTTGTTGATATTACATATATTTTTCACTTAACATAACTAATTTTGCTTATATTACTTACCAACTTCGCGTTATTGTACACATATTAGACTATCTTATTGGAACTATTTACAGCATTATTAATAAAAAGTATAAACGTAGCAGTTTTTACGTGATTAGGAAGCTTCTGTATTTGACTGTCTATAGGATAACCCACCCTTAATGTAATGGATAGAATTAGCTTATTATATTCATTTATGGGAGCAAAGTCTCACATCTATATATCTATCTATATAAATTATAAAATTCTAAAATCATTTAGAAGTTTGTTACTCAAACTTAGACAAATTTGGTCATTAAATGTACTAAATGACGCATAGTATATTTTATATCTTAATTGACGCGGGTAACGACGCGGAATACAGTTAGTTTATAATATTAGTAAAATAGAAAATATATCCACAAATTTTCCAAAGTTTGTGTATATGTTATAATATTTTTCATCTCTTATCCATTAATGTCTTAGCGACAATGTACTAAGACATTAATGGATCTACTTAAACAAAATGTGACTAAACTGTTTGTGTTATTTAATTTCCATCTTTTAGATACATTTTATTTTTGAGTGTATCTAAGTGTAATTTGAGTGTATTAAGAAATATTTTTTATTTTTTTCATGAAGTTAATCCACTTTTGATTTTTCATAATATTATATTTGGAAACCTGTAATTATTACTGTTAGTGGTATTAACTAATCTGTTTGTATAAAATCACGCGAGTCTTCGCTTAACGTGTACGCTGTATGATATAACAAATTGTATTTAGTGTAATGTGTTGTGGTGCATGTTATCCAGCTCAACATCACCAACAATAGTTGTCGTGACGCCTTGTTCGTAGTGAAAACAGCCTTGCTCTATGTCACTATCTCTCTTGTCATGTTTTCATTAGTATTTTTCTACTCTTGTTATTGTTATAATGAGCTATTTGAGCATAAGAATATATTTTAGTTATGTAAACTTCTATTTGTACTGTTACTATTTATTTGTGCCAAATGTGAAATACTACTATTTATATACGCGATATTTAAGTTGAATAGCTGCATATTTTAATGAATATTTACCTAAATAACTTTAGATTATAAGCATTGCAGATGTATGCTAATAATAGTCGTTTAGTTTCTACATAAACTTTATGTACAGTGTAGCTGTTATACATTTATAATAACGAATATTTTTATGTTCAGAATTGACCTCTACTAGCATATAAATCGTAGGAAAGTGTAATAGATGCATACAATATTAAATTACGTTCAATAAAAACGTTAAATTATTTATTTGCGTTTCATTTGACTACTCAGATACTAGTGCAATCCTTCGCCTAATATCTTTGGGTGGCTTTGATACATGAAATTAATTTCAGTAAATCTGTATACAACGGTTTAGCTTATAAACGAGATTCCGTGAGTTACTTAAGTGATAAATAGTTCCATACAACTATGTAATATGTCTTTGATATGGCGAGTTTAGAAGCTGTAACGGCACAGGAATCCATAATTAAATTTATAGTTAACAGGGAGTTCCATATTTTGGCGGGAATTTGAGTAAACCAATTACTTAAGCTATTTCAGTAGTTGTATACATTTATATGTGTGTATATTAACGAATAGATTCTAAATAAATAGCTTGAATAACTTTTCTCCTGGCACGGACTTCTTTGACTCAATTAATGAGTTTTACTGGATTCCGCTTCAAATTGCAAAGCGAATACGATGACCAAATTATTGGTCTGGGAAAAAGTCGGACGGATCTTGAAATAGTATTTCAAGCAAACTTTACTTAAGGAACAAATATTTTAACGGCTTAAATATTTAATAAAACATAATAGTTTCATGTTTACAATAAAAATACAGATTTTGTTGATGTCTGAATGATTTCATATTAAAAAGTTTTTGTAGACAGTTCTAAAATTATTCAACTATGTCAATTATTAATTGATATCTTGTTAGTGACTACAGGTATAAGAAAGAAATGTAACATACTAGTGTTCGAAAATTCATCTGCCTTTTTTAGATAAAAGATATCCTATCGTCCTCGTGCTATAATCTATATTCAAGTCACATTCAGTCATGAAAACATAAAAAAAACAGACAGACAGACAAACAGACATATAGACTATAGTACTATATATAGTACTTCCGCAATTATAATTTTTTGTATGGATTGCTAATGAAATGTAATTACAGAATAAGTGAATATAACCAAGTAACAAAAGGCAATATGTAATATTACTAAGCAATACGTATCTGTTAAATCACATTTCAGAAACGAGATTTCAGCAAAATCTAATACAGAAATAGGTTATATTTCAATAATTTAACCGTATTTTTTTAGTTTATTTGCATTTATAAATATGGCTATATTGTTAATTGTGAGGTTAATAAATTTTGTCTAGCCATACAGTGCTGTCACGATTTTAGGTGACCATATTTTCAGAATATACCCAAATACCTATCGCTGACTTAAACCTCAACGTCACGACACCACGCCGACGCGACACCGATATCGCTGTGGGAAAGCTCGAGGGTCTACGGGCGATAATTAGAGATGATTTAATTTAAACCGTAGCCTCGAGAACCACGTGATTTCATTACGAAAGAGCTACACTTCACCTCGAAACTGTTTTTTACAAGAGGCCAACCAAAATAGACTAAATTCACCTTATAAAATTTTCAGCAAATAATTCTGAATATTCGTTCCCTTTGTAAACTTTATTCTCTTATGTACGTGATACAACGGAATTCTGTGCTAAATCCACAGAAGATAAAATATTTCCTTGGTATTCCCAGACTTAAAGTATTTTACTATTTACTTTCGTTAATGTTTTATTATAATTGTACATTATACTAATTCACAAAAGCAATCTATTCAACATATTTTTAGGTCCTAACATTGTACCTGCTTAGGGTCTATTTTGAATATTGGGTATTGGGTACGAATGGATATATTGTAGTTTCATGGCGAGACAAACCTAACAAAGTCCTTGTAACAATGTATATATAATGTTATAATCGCAACTAACTTTATCTGCATCAGTCAAATTACCTATCAGAATACATAGATTCGAGTTAAAATTATAATTAATTATATTCTACTGAATATAAATCCTGTGCTATGTGAATATGTTTTGACATAATCAACGTTACTAATTATCGAATTAGTATAGATAGGGAGTCATCTTATATTATGAGTTTGGGGTTAATTAAATTTTACGAAAGAACACGTAACACTTAAAATAATAGTATATAGTACCTATATGGTAAGTAGGTAATTACTATTAAAATTGAAAGACAGTACTGAAATTTGAAGCAGCTTCACCGATAAAGACTGAATATCAAAGTGTTTATGGGCAAAACTGCTTGTGTGTTGATATGATGATTAAAACTCGACGGATGAAGATTCAATATAAAATCACATAGATAGTGGTAACCAATATAATGTGACACTGTAATGATATTTAGATGCATGCATTCAGGTATTTAAAATTGCTGATCTAATACAATTTTGTGTACCTATCGCCTGTATTCGTAACTAGACTATAGTATATCTTCAAGACTTTCATTAACAGCCGTTCATTTCGAGAATTTCTTTCGCAGGCTCCAACATAGTCTATATTTGACAGTAGTTCTCGCTCTATCTCAATTGAGAACCTCACAAAAACACTGATCACATGATTGCTACGCCGGCAGTATTGATCAAACCAAATGTGTGTGCGTTGCTGTGATATCAGTTCTTTATTCCTCAAATGAATTGCTAGTCATCCAATAGTTATTTACTAAACTTACTAAATAATTATTTTATTCCATTTATAAAGATATGGTGAAATCGCAACATATTAAATTTTAAAAGAATCGATATGTGAGTTTATATCTTATATTTACTAATGAAATTATAATTTTTGATTTAATGGATGTTGTAACTTTGACTGTGATATTATTTTATTTGTAATATTATTAACAATCCACCAGCATCCTGATCATCCAACGCTTCATTCATAATTTCTTTGTATGACGCCAATCAAATAATAAAAGTAGGTACATAGATAGTCGGATGAGAAATATTGAATTTGTTAAATTTTATGTCTAATTTGTATATGTTTCCATAAATTTAAACTATTTCTAACTTTAATAAATTGATAGAACGATCCTTCTAGCGTAGTTTGTAGGTAATATTAAAATATTATTTCTTAGCAATTTCGTAAGCAGCAGTAGCTCGTAGCAGTCTTGTAAGGCGTTTATTAAATCTATTTATTTCAATCTGCTAATTTGTAATTCAATCAATAGGCATATAAATTAATATAAAATATACAGCAGACCTATTACAGTATAGGCGCAAATAATGCGCAATATTAAAGTCATCGTGTATTATATTTTTAATATTTTTTTAATTAATTCTCGCAACAGCTGTTATATTTCGGAGAATTAAATTAGCTTTTTATTACACTTTTTTGTATAATAAGGAATTTCAATTGCAAATAAGGCGTTTATACTTTGTGAAGGTCATTAGCCGTACATAATGGAGCAGGTACTGCATTAACGCTCTTTTGTTAGGTAATGTTAAGATTGATAGTAACTTTTTCGTCTAATGCGTATCATTTAAATTCCCAGGTAAGGTGGCATCGAACTATAGAATATTATATATATAGAATATTATAATTATATTATTCACAATGAGTCGAAATTATATTTTTTATAATGGGTGACTTTCTTATTACTACATGAACATCACTAGTACCTAAATTATACTTCAATTTCGATGACATACAAAAGACGTAGTTTCAGATATAGAATTTGACCAAAACTTATAATTAACCGTAGCAGTCCTAATACCAATAAATCTCTAACAGAATTTAAAGTATGAGGATAAAACAGACAAGGGTTAGCCAATCATATTTTTACATACTGTTGCGGGTGAATGATACGATGTTGTTGGTCGAGACGATGTATATTACAGATGATAATAAACTGACAATATGTACATAGAAATATTGATCTTATATACTAAATAACAATAGGAAAATGTAAGGTGGGGTGACACAGTTTAGATACAGCAGTGCTTAGTAGACAATATTGAATTAGTCTTACTAGACATTATTAAATGCAATTATTACTTTGATGTATCTAGGTGACTGTGTCCCATACATACAAATTTATTAAGATTTACACTTTATTTGGTAAAAGTGATTTAATTATATGAGTTACCCACCTACTACTAACCTATAATCTTTACGATTGATTATGTATAGTATTTGGCATTTAAAACCTTTTTCTACTTTTTAGTGATATTTCTTTTAGTATAAAATCTACTATGGACGCTCTACTATTTGCATTAACATTAGAAGTGGTTCTACTGCAAATTCGTATTCTTGGTGAGTAACATATCAATACAAGTTGTTAAAGCTTTTTTGCACGTTACATAAGACAATACACACCGAATCCCAATATATTATAAATGATAGTACCTATAAAGTATAATTGATTGCCTTGTATTGCATACGCAAACAGTATTTTATTGAGAGGTACAAACTGAACATATCTAAAAGTGACTTTAAATGAAATTCACAAAGAGGGACTCGATGAACCAACCACTTCAGTTTACAACCCGATGACAGATAACGTCGCATTTCATTTATATTGATTTGTACTACTGTCATGTCCAAGGTAGAAATTTACAAAAGTTTGACATAATTCGTATCCTATAGTCAGGATCTCAGTCTCACTTTTGTATTACGATCTGTGCCCACGGTTTCAGCTGCATGAAATGTATAGCCTATATGTTATACTGATGTATAGCTATATTACTATAAAGTTTCATCAGAATCCATTCAGTAGTTTTTGCTTGAAAGAGTAATAAACATCCATCCATACTCACAAACTTTCGCATTTATATCTAATATTATTAAGAGAAGATTAGCAGCCTACTTTGTAAGCTGTATTTTGGTTGGTCAGGTGAGTTAAAACAAAGAAATTTCAGTATAAGAAGCACCACATTTAGTTCTCAGGAATAGTTTCTCTTGAGTGGCATCACTGGCGTTACATAATAACGTGATGTCCGTAATTCCGTTGAGCTGTTCTTACATATAGGTTTTTTTATTATGATAATGAAATGGTGCACCAGTGGAGGATGATAAAATGAACATGAAGTCAGGTCAGTTAGCCCATTACGACAAGTTCACCAGGAATTTATCACGATGGTTTCCAGGGGGAACCGCGTGGAGGTCAACCTGACATGGTACATTGCTAGTAATGGGGTCATGAGTCAACATTACTCACAATCCCCTTCCCCCGTTCTTACATATAGGTGAAGGTTAGCACCTTCGTACCAGGGTTAGTTATACCACAAGCAAAAAATCAAAAGATACAAAAAGGCTAAGTAAAAGGACTTATGTATCTTACTTAACTCAACCAGAGTTAAGCAAGATACCACCAACATATATAATATTCCGTGTCACAAAAACATATAGGTAATATTTTGGTACGTATAACCACTTTTTATCACATATACGCATACAAAGAAACAATTTTATACAATGTAAACAATTCGGTGTGAACATTCTAAATAATTTAAACATGTTTCAAGCATGTGGTACACCTACATATTATAAAATGTTTTTGGTGTATAGGCGACGTAATTTTGCGAACTTACACATTAAATGACTTAACGTGCATAATGTAGGCGTTTCTATGATAAATTATTGAATGCATAATTATTATATTAATGGGATATATGTATGTATATGATTATATATTTTTATTAGCACTTAACAATCAACTCTTATCGCCATCTGACGACTAATTACGTAAATTATATTTTCAATTTTAGAGGGCACCACAAAATTAAAAGCAAACAGGAAATATGTCAGCAAACACGAGAAAGCTCAACGTGATAAACTCACTAGAGACCGGTTAGTACCAGTACATTTGTAAAGATGGCGCAAATACCAAATAGTATCTGTGGTAATATAAAATTGTAATGTACCGTCACGACTATTGTTCAGACGAGGTGATCAGAGGCATTCTCAACTGTCTGTTTGATGTTATGTTGCCACTTGTTCACAATTTGCTCGAAACGAGTTTACCACCGTCTCTCAGCTTAATTTTAGGTGTTTTCTTTTTATAGTTGAATTTGTGGGCAATAATATTTTTTTAAAGTACATATTAAAGATATATTGCAGTTACTTGATTAGATTTTACAAGATATACTGTTATATGTACTTGTTTCAAAAGCAAATATTTAGGTCAGAATACTGACTCTTACTTTATTACTTGCAGACAGATGGTGAAGGACGTAATTCGAAGTACCCTTATTGAAATTGCAGAAACAGGTCAATGGTACTCTTTACAGCAGGCTTCTAAAGTCCTCGAAATCCGTTTCTCTTCCGCAATTAGCATGTATCAGAAGCACGAACAACTGGAAATGTATGTATGTACTGATGCATTCAACGTTTATTCTTGAAAATTCAGTACCTTATCCCTTAGTTAGTTGTCGACAGTAGGTATTGTATCATTAATTTATTTATAATGACACAAATATAAAATTGTATTCAGAGATTTAATTTTATTGAATTTGATGTATAATACCGATGGAACTTGGTTTCTTTGGTAGTTCAGAATAAGTACATGCTGAAAGTTGACAAGTAATAATCTCAGGACATTTCACACAGCGCCATCTAGGCCTAAGTTAAGCTATCTAAAGCTTGTGTTATGAGTACCAGATAACTGATACAAATACATAGAATTTTTTTCGTAAATATACCTATAGATAACACCGAGACCGTCACAGTCATACTCATGAATATAAATGTTTGTGCTGTGCGAGGAATCGAACCCGCGACGAAGTAAGACTGAATGCTAAACCGCTAGGCCACCGACGCAACAATTTGTCAAGTCCTCTTTTGCTTTTTATCCGTTTTCTTTTCATAGGTCACTGGAAGCAATCGTTAAAGACTTAATAACTAATAGAAATCAATGGATTCTTGAAATACATAATGCTGACAAAAGAATTGCACTTCTTAGAGACAAAATGAAAGTAAGTTAAGAGATTAAAATGCATATGTATGTACAAAATCATATTTGAAAAATCTGAAATAATCCAATTATTAAACCTGTGGCAGTGGACAGATTATCTATTCTATATACTTACTTACGTTTTTTTGATTTTATAATTATTTTTATAAATCACTTTACTTTTAAAATACCATTCTACTATATAATGTTCTTAATTATATTTTTAAAGTCAACTTAATTTCAGGATGATTTCCAAAATGCCAAAGCACGTTTTTGCTATGCCGAAAAATGGGTAGTTGCACGCGCAGAATCCTTAGAACTGCAGCTTAATGTACCACGTCCGCCGTTACCCAGATCTGATTACGAGAAGCGTGTACACGAAGAACTGATTCGAGCTTACGAATTACAGATAAAAGTAAATAAAATTAACCTTCTAATTATAAACATAACACAAGAAATGAAATCCATTTAGTGTGAATTATCCATATCATAAGGGTCATTGTATAATGACCCTTATGATATGCATTATATTTACAGTAAATATTAATTGAAATAAAAAACGAATATAGTATAATTATAATTTTAGCGGATTCCGCCATTTTACAATACAGACTTACATTCTCTATAATGCACAGAGTAGTTATAAACATCGTACCCTCATATTCTGCAATTTTAATTATGTAAATCTGTTGTCAGCGTCCTATTAAGTCGAACACAATTCAAATTATAAATAAATGATTTTTGTCATTTATTCATAGATAGGACATTTTCGATATTTTTTATATAATAATTTCAATTTGTGGATAGTAACAGAAACTGAAACATTAATAGATAGTACAATGATTTAACAGGAACGTGAAGAGTCTTTAGTTTACTGGAAAGAACGATATACAAAAGACTTCGCTGATATATGCGGCAGAGTATCGAAAAGATGTGAACAGCTGCGTGTAGCTATTGCGCGCCACGAGGAGTTACAAAAATTGGTAATAATTTAAAATTTAATGTAGGTATTTCAAAACTTTTGCAGTATCGAAAGCCCAACCACGACCACCTCATACAAACTCTAATATATTAAATTTTGTAACTATGTACGGGAATTTAATAAATTTTTAATGAGTATATTTTAGACAATTATTTTGTATTTCAATTGTCTTTTGGATGAGTACGGTGGTCTCGCCTCTCAAGTTTTAACAATCCATAATAGCTCATTGTCACTTTAACAGGGGCTATTAATAATGTAATCAAGTGTGTGTATGTATGATGAGCCCAATTCCCGTTAATTTTACTGCCACATCTCACTCTTCAATTGAAAGAGACCAGCAGGCACTGAGCAGGATGCCTAAAGGTGGTTTAAATAGGCGGAGACTGTAAAACGGAGGAACTGACGCCGGCGCCAATGTAGGGACATACATAGTCTTCGTTGTACCACAGTACCATCTAATTCTATGATATCTAAGTCATTATCATTACATACTATAAACTAAAGTCGCTGTCGCTGTCTGTATGCTTAAGTCTTTAAAACTACGCAACGGATTTTGAAGCGGATTTTTAAAATAGATAAAGTGATTCAAGAGGAAGTTTAATATATGTGATACATATACACCCTTGCGAAGCCGGGCCGAGTAGCTAGTAATTTGTAAAATTGATAAAATAAAATTCTTTTTTTATTTGCCAGTACGACTTACATGAAGGCGAAATGCGTGGATGGCTAACATTCAAACGAGAACGCGCCGCACGGATAGCTCTCCAGGAACGATTGAATACCGCTGCGAAACGCATTCAGTCGTGGTGGCGTGGGATGATGGTACGCCGCGCATTTGGGCAATTCCGATATTTGCGTAGTGCGAAAAAATCTCCTAGCAAAAGCAAAAAGAAGTAAATTACTCACATACTCAACTTTTACTATAAAATGAAAAAGTAATAGACGGATAAACAAGTATCTATGGTTTCGTTCATGAATACTTTTATTTAAAAACATTTCTTTATTGAGATGTATATTACTGGAATATTTTATTAATTTAATATTTATTATAAAATTATTAGTATGACAATACAAAGCAAGTAAAAAGTATTCTAGAAATATAATCTTCAACTAATATCTAATAAAAGTAAAATTTAGGAAACTATGTATATAATGTGTTGTATTTTTTTAACAATTATATAGCTACCGCTCATTTCTCATTAAATTTTTTTAAATTTGAATACAAACTCTTTTAAACGGAATCCATTTTAAGGTAAACCTTTATAATATGTAACCTTTATTTTCAATGTATCCACGTTTGAATCTGTCTGTATTCAATAACATATGAAAAACATATTTTAAAAATACTTAACGTCGTATTGTGTATTTCCCTGATAAATTCTGTTATAAAATCCAGTTGACTTCACTCTGTATATCTCTCAATTCGACACATGGCCCTAGCACAGCTTTGTAAAACGTAGTGATTACTTGCCTGATTGGTTTTAAATTTGGAATAACTTATATTTGGATTTTGGGACTGGTCTGCTCTAATCACTATGACTGATTTCCTCTTATTAACTGATTGACCAGTTTATATATTCAATATTTTTTCTATTTCATTGTTTAATTGAATAAGTCCTAATCGGTAGTTTGTTTTCACATACATAAACATAAATTGTGAAGTAAGAATAAAATTATTTAAAAGAGCAACACACAAGTTTCTTGCTCGTTCTTCTTGTGATGAAACAGCTTTCCGATTGAGCGGTAGATTAAAAAAAATGTGATGTCTATTCAAGTGTTTCAATGTAAGTTTAATTGAATAAATGATTTTCTATTCTATTCTATTCTATTTAGAAACTGACAATTTAATTTTATTATTAGAAACCAAATTTATATATTATATACTATTTTTAATCAAAACTAAAAATGTTTAGGTAAATATAATGGTATCTATAATTTTTTTATTCATCTTGCTTATAAAGTTTAATATATTGTTCTACGCTATTATCCTTACTTCGAAAGTTATATACTACTGATTTTTATTAAATACATTAATAACTTTAAAATATTCAAAAGCGTAAATGAATTTATGATGTTCACTTCAATTAAATATACAAAACTAAATATATTTTTAATACCTACACGTAATTACTGATATTTAACAGACTTTTCTTACAAAACAAACTAAATGAAACTTATATTTTCATACAATTGTGGTTCAGTAAGTCACGTCTTTTTTCTGTCTATTGGATTTATAATTTTATACACATAAACTTCTTTGTATACAGATTCTGAATAATTTAATGTCTGTGGTCGGTTAAAGTCAGTGTCATTCATCTATCTGTCACTCGGTTGTCATTACTGTCAGTGTGACTATTTTCTTTGCATTTTGTTGTCAGTTGCACGCGGTCTTTTGTGTATAGTGTATGTTGGTGGATATTTTGTTTTATGAGAAAGTGATTATCGACATGTTTCACAATTTTAAATTGTTATGTTAACTGGAAACATTAGGCAATACTTCCATAAGTGTCGTATAATGATTTAAAACAATAACTATATAATAATCAAAAACTTGTTCAAATCGAGTTCTTAGAAATTGGGATTTATCATTTCTAGATTTGGTGAGTAATAATAACTTTTATTGTTGAGTTGCACGAGAATATTTTTGGAATATTCGCTTATTATTATTTACATCAATAGATAGGTATCTGAATATCCATACGTCTAATTTAATAAAATTCTATTTTTATGTTTTGACGTGAAATTGATATTGAAACTTTCTCTTCGAATAAGTAATTGATTTTACCATGACGTAGTGAATTAAATTCTGCAATGCTTTTAACTATTCATGTATCTATGATATGATAATGTATAATTTCTACTGTTATATTAAATTTAAAATATATTATTCCTTTGTAATAATAAAATGATAATTAAGTAAATAATACTTGTTTATTTTCATTAATTTCATTTTACCACAATTGTTATTATTGTAAATTATTTGAGTAGGTACTTTCTAGTTTAAAACTAGTTATAACTATATTAGTGTGTAGTATTGTAACATTTGATGCTCTTTTTCTACTTATATATTAATGTAAATACTTTTATGTCTAAGTTGAATTCAAGAAAGCCAGTATTTGTTTTGAAATATGTCAGAGTACCTACCTACTTTTGTATACTAGTCATACAAATTACATATGTTACACACATAAACATACACATATTCTTAATAATTTATAGTTTAAAAATAAGAAAATACAAATATTGTTACATTTTTTGGTAATAGTATTAAACAGAAAATATATATTACAATTGTTATCCCTGTAAAAATTTCTTAGAATATAGTAAAAGCTATTAATTCATAATTAAGGGAAATATAATACATGATTTTTATAAATAAATAACTATGACTGGGAGAAGCTATCATAATGATTCGACCTATGTTTATATAGACCAATAAATTGATGGGTAGAATAATTTTGATTGTGTAAATTTATCTTACTAAAATAAAATATAAAATAACAATAACTAAAAATACAACTAACAAATGTTGTTTAAACCAAACATTAGATATATATAAATAAGTAGTATGTAACATTCTGAATTAGATAAATAGCCTATCATCTTCTAGGGATTATAATATATTGTATGTTCTGATTTTAGATAAACTCTTATTTGTTATCTTTATTACTTATATTTTGTTTGTTCACCAATTATTCATTGCTTACATCATCCATACTAATATATTAAAAAACACTCATACACATACTTTAGTTTGTCTGTGAATGTCAAATAAAATTAAACATTGACAACACCAATATAATGCCTAATTACATAAAATAATTTAATAATAATATATTGTTATCCCAGATTAGTACTTAATTAGTAATTTCAGCAATTATTAAATACTTTAATAAACACAGTTTTACAATCCTCTTACTTCTAAAGTGTAAGCCGTTGGTGCAGATGAGTACATAATTCCATTATCATCCATAAAATAATCCTCTCAGTTGGGCATTACCGTCACTCATCTATGTAACCCTTTAAAGATTTTTGTTTAGATATATGTATAGCAACTGCGCTGGATACCACAATCACTCTTTGTTTTTGCTAACGAACCGCAGCGTTCACTTCTCCGCAAGCACTTTATACTTGCTTTCTACAAGTAAAGGAACCAATTGGAAGAATTATTGAATGTGATATTGGCTAAAATATAGCGTAGCATGCAAAAAATACACTGACTGACCTACTTGAAGTCACCTTTAAAAATGTGTTACATTTGGTCTTAACACGTGTTAAGAAATATAGCAAAAAGATCTCATATATCTTAATCAGGCCGAGGCTGTTTAACTTAATAGGAAAAGTCATCGACTTTTCCGTGTAAATACCGACGTGGTTTACAGCGGTGCCGCACGCGGTAATTAGTGCGTTAATCGCAATAGCTTGCTGCACAGTCGATGTTGATGCAACTGCGGTTCCGAGAAGTCGATCAGAGGCCGAGGAGCGGCAAATTACCACGAGATACGGGTATGCCGTACGACGGTAATTGCAAAAATCTCTCGTCGGTAAGACGACTTGTGGTCCTTGTATTACAGCTACGAGCGTGCACGATGCAACTAGTACAACATACAAGCAAATACATTTGTAATGATAGACCTATACGGAGTTTTATTACGTCGGAGGCGAGCTTTATTATGGTCGAGCGGAATATAATTTTTTGCACTACAGATATTGACTATAAAAAAAAGTTAATCACAAGTAATGTAAAAATCTAGAATTAATTTTATGTTTATGCCGAAAATGTCAATTCAAATAAAAACGATAATATACAATAGTTACAGGCTATAACAATGCCTAATATTCAACAAAAAAATAAATGGGTAATGGTAAATTTATTTTTGTAACATCAATGAAAATAATTTATTAGCTATAGATATAAAATCGTACATGAGAAGTACCAAGAGCAAATATTTACATAGGTTTGTAAACATAAATTTATAACACAATACTATTGCTCGATCGTGAATAATAAGGAAGAATTGAAGAATGATAGTATAATTATGTAAACAGAAATGGACTCAATTGGCAATTCACAAATTGCGCTATTTTAGTTATTTGCTGGCTTCATTAAATTCTTGCAATACATTTTGGATACAGTTATACATGCTGAGCATTTATGGTAGTTTTGCTATTTGAAAGTTAGTTATAGCTTCTAGTTGCTTTCTCCTTCATTTAATTCCGTGTATTGAAACAAAGCCGTTAACAAGTTATAGTACAGTACATCCAAGTTTTTATGCTATTTCTATAGAATTTGCTTAAATCGACTCTGCTGCTATAAAAACTCAATAAATGGGTCTTGTTAGATTAATTTTTGGCTCTACAGAATACTTACTTACTATATTAATATAATTATACAATAACTTTCCCTCATGAATATTGCTCCAAGTGATTACAATAAGTGCATTATTCTTCTTTTTAATAGACTCTAAAGAGGACTATAATTTATTATATAAAAATGTCTTCTTCAAGTGTTTTGACCTCGGATATTCTTTTTTATTATTAGTCGATTAATGATAAGAAAGTACTCGCTTTACGGATTCATCTGATTCAGTACCTACTTATGTATGTAATTAATTATCCATAAGAGTTATGTTAATATGTTAAATCATGAATATTGACATTATTTGTTCAAATAATTTTTAAATTGATGACTACTTAATCACCAATGTACTTAGTCCAATTTTTAAATTTAAATATCTAGGCAATACATCATTGACCACTGCATTTAATCCCATGCATCTTTGCATGTTGGTGTATTAACAAACAGATTGACAGAGAGACAAAAATTCTAAAACCTGCCGTTTTTGTTTCTGATGCTCTATTAAAAAGCTCCCCTTTCTCCATATTAGTTTTTTTTCAATATCTACATATAATGTACAGACATCGGCCTGTAACAATTTTGTTATGTATAGTTTTCAAGTACGAATAACAATGAAGACCTAAAAAGTACCAATAAGTATTAGGTTGTAGGTAATTGCGTTTCCGAGAAGCTAGGACCTAGTCATTTGCAAACGGCATATTCATGGTCTTCACGGAATAGGTAATTGGTTTAGTCAGTAATTTTGTTCGATATGTAGGTCAAATCTTTATTACAATAATATGTTTTATGTCGATGTATAAAAATTGCAAATATCATTACAAAATAAGATCATATTACAAATCCATACTAATATTATCTATTATATATGTCGTGTACCTCATCACAACTAAACGGTTGGATCCTAATGAAAACTGACGTGAAGATATATTGTATTAGGAGGATGAACCTATTGCCTCGCAGAACACAAAACTATTTCAATTAATTCTTGTAATTATGACCCTCTAGTGTTGAAGTTTGGGTACGCAAACTCTCGTCCTTTTGACCTGTATCTTAAATTAAGTTATGAAAACTAAAATTTCAAACGAATTGAATAAAATTGAACGCAAAGATTTCAATTACAATTATATATGAATTTGTATTTGTTCTTGCTACTGTGCCAATTTCTTATGAATACTGTTTTATATATTTTTTCTAATACTAGATGGCAACAATTTGTAGCGACTCCATATACCTAATTATACTCGTATGTAAGTTAAAAAATTTGTTTGATAAGGACTATAAAAATTTTAACAATCGACAATGGACCAAATCTTCAACTTACCTACTTAGTAAAATTACTCTCTTATTCATAGAATCGTAAAACTGTAATTTGTCATTTTAAGCAAGAAGTGTACGAAATACAAACTTTACAATCGCATAATAAGGATCTTTTAGACAGTTAACGATTTCATGAATAAGCAGGTAAAACTTTATTGTCTATACTCGTACAAACAATGATGAATACCTACTAAAATGTTGTTTTCGATTCAACTACGTTGTAGTTGGTATTTTAAACAATGGTACTGACTATAGATATATGTATATATACCACAAAGTCAATACCACCAGATTTATAGGTATGGTTAGCACGATGCAGCCTTACCATAGTATTTTACTAATGCCTTACCGAGAATTATAAAACCCGTAGGTACCCCATTATCATAATCCTTGGACTTTCTATCGACCGAACTTGCTGTCAATTGTTTTCACTTATTTCTTTGAGGACTATATTTATCTATTCTGTGGTTAAATCGTTTAATGGTTGCCACAAATAATGTCATATTTATATAATAGACATGAATAATTGGATAGTGTAGAGCAATATCCCGCGAAATGTTAATGAGTAATGCCATAACTGAAAAGTAAACGGTTCCTAGAAAAAACGGAGTTAAACTACAAAAAACATATTACACACACTCACTTAAATAATTGTATTGTGAGTAATGAACGACAATAACTAAATACACTGCGTTCGTAGTGTATAATTCATTTTAATGCCATTAATCGTAGCTAGTATTTTTATATGGCAATACATGTTTTACTGCTCTGTTGTTAGTTCTGATTACGAATGTAATGTGTCCTGCTAGAGAAAAATATTAAATTTAATATTAAAATACGATTTTCATCATGTTATTAATCTTATAATACTAGTCTCTACTTTTCCTTCTGTCTGATCTGTGTAAGTCGGTGTTAAATTACATATGAGTCGGAGGCTCATTCTATTATCATGTAAATTCATTCATACCGATAGTGCAATATAACTATACATTTTTGTATTCTTTTTTTAATGATTGACAATCGTCTTTTGTTCGAAATTAACACTTGTTCTTAAGAATTTTATTTGAAACAACCATGTGTAATTTTTTTTAACGTATGATAATTGTATCGTTCACCCGACTGCGATAGCGGTTTACGCTGGCGGGACACCAGTGTAGGATGATAGAATGAGTATGAGGTCAGGTCAGTTAGGCCATCGTAGTAAATTCACCAGAAATTTATCTTGATGATTTCCAGGGGGAACCGATTGGTGACCTCCACGCCGTTCCCCTGATACAGTACATACGTAGCCATGGGGTCATCAGTCCACATTACCAACAAATTCCTCCCACCCACAAAATTTTCAAAAAAATGTTCATGCAGGACATTTTAGTTACTTATGCTAGTCAAGTTTTTTGTATTCATATTTTTCTTCTTAATATTTAATATTTATATTTATTCGTACAATTCAGTCTATTCAATAAGAAAAATTAGCAAGAAACTTTACTGTCATAAAAGTCGTAAATAGGAGTCAAATAAGCCAAATATCCATGTATGTATATTGTATGTTAATACAATAATGTAGATAAACTATTCTCGGAATATTCACACACCTATCTAGTTTCCTGGGATCACACATAAATATACATATACTAATATAATTTGATAATTTCTACTATCCCTTTCCAACTCTTTCTACTATACCATTAAGAGCAGTCGAAAAAATAATATGATAATAGATAATATTGTATCTCGGAAAAAATATAACGTGAGATCCTTACGATTAAAATGAGTATAGTCGGAATTATTACTATGCATACGTATTAGGTGTAATAGAGCGGTCTTTGATATTTTGACAGCAAGTTAAATTTTACATTTAAATTGATTAAATTATTGAAAACCAACTAATTGTAGTTGTCTTTTACTCTCTGTAGTTCTTCCTCTTGTTTTATAGAATTTAACTTCATTATGATAACTATCCTAAATATTTTGAAAATTCTCTGTTCTGTGATTTTGATACTATGACCCGCGCAACTTCATCTGCATTATATAAGAGAGTGACAGGGAGAGGGAATAGAGAGTGGGGAGCACTCCAAAAGAATATTTTTTTTAAATTTACATTACGAACATTATCCATATCCAATGTTTTCATTCATGCTTCTCTCATATTTGTCGTAGCGTGAAGCTTCACGCTATGACTATGACAAATATGTATAATTATATGACTGTGTATAGCTATACAGTCTAACTTCTTAGATATATGTACTATCCAACACTAAAAAAATCCATTCGTATAGTTTCAGAGATTAGCGAGGTAAACCAAACAAACAAATTTTTCGGCTGTATAGATATATATTAGAGTATATTCAGCATGTATAGCAATAAATTCAGAATAGCTTATATATATGTCATATATTTTTATTTTTTCCAGATATTAATATGTGGAGATTCCTGACACTTAGTTTAATGGCCAGCGTCGCAGAAGTGGTCGGCACTGCTAGTCCTTACTGCTCTGTAAACACATTCACGACCAGCGCCGCCGGATTGCAGTTTACCAAGGAGCCTGTCCCTGTTGAGTACGGATTCGAAGAGAAATTCAAGAGCATACATTGCTGCGTGAAGGGATATCGAAGTATCGAATGGTGAGTTTCATACATTTACTTCATCAATTGCTATATGCCTAAATGCCATCTGGTCTGTATTCGAAAAACTACCCTACTTCTTGACATCACATAACTAATGAGTATTACCAGTGATGTAATAGAAACATGTTAATCTATTGATGATTATATGGTATCTCGTAGTGCTAGCGTTCCCTTTTAGTCACAATCTGGACTAGATTTAAAGTTACTGACTTTTACTTCTTAATGAAATTTTTAATGAGATAATAAACTATATTATGAGGGCGAATATAGCCTATATTTTATCTTAAAACTAGCTACTCGCTCCAACTCCGCACGGGTGTATATACATATGTGTGAGGGACGAATACAAAATTTCTTGGAATCCTCGTCCATTGTGTGCGCAAATACACATAATAATCTACTCTTATAAGTACATATAATGTTTCTACGTGACAATGCCCTCCTCAAGACCGAACGTGTACAACATTTAGCAGTTAATATTATTATAACGTAGTCGTTTCTCATGGCTTTGCTCATGCGAATTTGTTACAACCAGCATCAGTGTTAACTTCTATAAATCCATATTTAGATCTCACCTACTTTCTACTATACTTGTCGTTAATTCCATGCATCTATTATAATCTAGACACACCTGTATAGGTTTCGAATTATTTATAAGTGAGTATAATTTTTATTGTATTAGAATCATGTCGTATCGTCGTATATATAGTTCTGCTATTTAATGATCAAATTTCAATAGATTTGGCATAGACGTAGATAGATACATAGATTATTTATGCTATTTACATATTACGAATTTTATCTACTAATTAAAATATATTATTAGATTATTGTACCTTGTACCGTAAGTCTGCTAATATTACAGAAAAAACGAGAATATTTACATTTATGTACCATTTCCCATGTTTTTCATACACTTATTTTAATACTCGATGTTTACCTACAACATCGTTTGCATTCATTGAGATAAAAGATAAAATTTATTCGTCGTCGTGTACAATCTATCTTCACATCATATTTCATTATCCTATTCAGCCCTTTTGTCGTGAAAAGGTAGTATTCACACACAGTTTCCCGTTTATAATATTAGACATGGAAATGTTGAATATTTAGGTCGATCATTAACAATTAATGGGCCACTAATTGTTTAGAAGAAGATCAAGTTAAAAATAATTAGTGTAAATATTATACCACACTGGAAACTTACCGTAGCGTGTAATCGAATCGGATGCACTAATGGCGACAAGCAATTACAGGACGAGCACAAGTATAAAATTACATTTGAAAAAAATGTATTCAAGTACTTACGTTTGTGACTGTAAAAAGTTCCAGTACAAATATGACTGGAAGCCTATAATGGATAATTAATTAGGATCTAATTAGGCGGCTCGCTTGTACCAAGTTGGGCGCGAATATGATCGCTCAGCCGAGTATACAGTACGCAAAAACATACACTCCGCTTATTCATTCTATTGAAATTATTGCATAGATAATAGCGTAATGAAGATAATTACAATGATATTACTTACATATCTAGTCATCATGTGTCAGATAAAGAACGGCAGCGATTTTACACGGTATTTTTAGCAATAGGTGTTTTCTGCGTCTTAATCCGCTAGAATATATAAACGCCGATTCTTACGAGAATTTGCGGATCTTGTGTCTTACTTATTCCTTGGCATGATGAACCAGTCAATCAGAACGAATAGAGTGAAAAAGTAATGATCGTAGCGAAGTAGCCAATGTATATGAACGAATCACATACCTTTATTATGTATAATTTCTACTGGATGTATGTAAATTACGTGTCAATATTAAGTAGTCAAATTTTTACCCTAAATTTCCAAATCAAAAATAAATTATAGTTTATAAACCTAACACATTTGTGTTAGCTTTATTAACTCCATTTTTATGGTGCATTTTAAGGGCCATTTTGGTTGAAGAGTTAGGTGCGGAAGGGAGACAGAAATCATCTGTCTCTGTAAATAAGTACTGTAATCACAGCAATTAAAAAAGCACGCTTAAAATTGTTACATCGATGTAGATACACCTCCATTTTTTTTGTATTGTTTAACTGCATTCGCGATTATTTTTTACGTAATATTTTTTATGTTTTTCCTTTTTTTAGCCTTTGTTTTAAGGATGAAGTAAATTCGTTTGTTTAATAATGTGTTAATATTAACAAACTATTTTAGTATAAATCTTTGAAAACCTTACCTTGTTATGATGTGGAATGGAATTAATTATAGAATATATTTGTATAGTATAAATTAAAAACAATTAATATTTTATAGGTAACTTTCGTAGAATCCCAACTGAAATAAATATAGGTTTATATGTTGTAGTTACCAATTTACTTAAATAGTGAACATTTAATTAAGTATAAAAGTTATTGCTTTTGTTTTTTATCTTGGTGTCCATTATGGCCGTCGTATACATCAACTCACAAAGGTTTTGTAAGTATAATGTGCATCAATATACGTGGCATGATTGCACCTGGTGCGAAAACAAGTACGATTCTCAGAATTGGTGATTGCCAGTCGTTACTCCCTCTTCCCTCCGCCCTCCGTGTCTCGCCACCAGCCTCGCCTCGCATCTCTTCAGTTGTAGCCTGACATTCTATCTGCAAAAAATATTGTTACCCACAGCAATGCCATGCCAGTCACTCAATAAACTAATAATAAACTCACTAAAGTTAAGTTTTATTATTGCATTCGTTTTTGTACCTACTTCTCAAGTCTTTTAATATTCAATGTTACTGCCGAGTTGCATCCGAAGACAAAGGTTTATAAATCTATTTTTATTGCTACGCTCTATTGATTATATTATGTAATGTGTTTTTTTGCTTTAATTCTGTTCTAGAAATAAAACTTTATTAAAATGATTAGAGCAAATAAAACCACTCAGTAGGTATATTACTAAGGTTGGTACATTTTATAACATTTTGTTATGATAACGCTAAATATGCTTACTCATTTAAAATACATTACTAATTAAATTAAGTGGTGTAGCTGTTCTAGTCACTGGTTTTAAATTTAAAGACATGATCTAATATTGAAACAAGATAAAACATGTCGCTTAGGTCAGCGGTTCTAAAACTTAGAATAGAAGACTCCGGAACACTATGAATAATATTTCTTAATGTATGCCACTCTGCGAACAAATATAATCAGATGTCATGGTTTTCCTTTTCAAGGATGAACTCATGAAGATGAATTTCAACCTTTACCAAGTGCCGATAACTATCATCGACATACATTACAACACAAATACACAATACAAACACGTAGTTACTAAATATAATCGTATGCAGGGTTAGTACTAAGGCAGAAGTATATGGAAGTCAGATCCATGTGGTCATCCCAAGTGGAAGATAGTCCCATGGTAATGAACAATTTTTGTTCTATAACTTCCCATGAAATCATATATATTTTTCAAGAAAAATAGGTTCAAAGTTGTCACATACAAATACAATAATAACAATAGAAATGTATGTTCATACCAATGGCAATGTAAACAGCAAATACATTTCTTGTAGAAATTAAATTTTAAGTTAAGGATTCCAATCGGAACACCTAGTTAATAATATACACTTTACGCACCGCTGGGTTTTGGGTTATTTATTTATATACATATGTATATATGCGGCGCATAAAGTTGTTATATTGATGTTAATGTCAGTAGTAGCTAAATTCATTTGCGTGACTCACGTCGTTTATGTTAAGTATATGAAACTGTACAATGAATGAATTAACGGTCTCCATAAATTATGTCATTATCCATTTAAGTAGTTCATAATAATATTAGTAAAATAAATAAGAAAGAATGTGGATATTTTTGTACAACATAATCTTATATGTAAGATGTTAGTTACCATATTCCTCCGAAAAGGCTTGACAGAATGTTAATAGTAGTCTTCTTCTTTCTTCGTGAGTTGAATCGACGGCCACTAAAATGATACAGCTTTAAAAATAAAATACTTTGTAAAGTTAAAATGATACATGCTGTTAGTTCAACGCCGTAGGTACTTTGTGGTGTAAATATGGGGAAACGTATGTTCTCTAATGGACGATGGAGATGTTATGACGATGAGGTTAGTGCCAAATAGCTCATAATATATTATGTATAATATGTTTAAATTGAAGATAAGTACCACAACAGTATCATAAATGTACGGAAGTGCGATGTTTACTAGCACTGAATTTTGTAGATTAAAGAATAGTCTTTGGAAATCCCAAAACGGGTTTTCACGCCGGGGCCGTGCAGTTTCCTTCTAAGATAATCACAGATATTTTTGGTTATACCTATAAAATATGTTACATTAACGAGTACCCCAAATATTACTAGAAATCATATTTTCAATATACTTGTTTTTTGTTTCAATTGCACAAAAAACAAGTATATTGAAAATATGTTTTGGTTTGGGTTAATACAGCAGCAGCAATGGGAGCCGTTTGCTATTATTATTACTATTATTTCTAAACATATTCTGAATTAATCTGATTAATGTTATATTCGTGAATGCTAAATTGGTACTATCTTGTTTAAACAAGTTTGAATCAAACGTTACGTAGTTGTGATTATCATCAAGGTAGTTGATTACAACTCTTAATATGTAATGTGTTAATATAGCAAGATAAGTATATATATACTATACGATTGGAGTAGGAAGAAGAATTATAAGTACTTGTTAATCAAACGGCTTGACGATTCTCGGGATTTCCCGCGCTAACATTTTTGAATAATTGATCACGTTCTTTACCACCTCATTTTATTAACACATTATAATGTAGTTAGAAATTTAATATAGAAACGTGACAAATTAAATTAATCAATTAAATAAACTGTACAAATAACGATATTTTAATATTAATGCTTTTAGAACGCCCTAAGGTCGGTTTTTCATGTTGCTTACATTATCTAGAAAAGTAATTAGTCCTGTAGATATATGTCTACATTACATTCAGCAGTGTGAAATTCACATTTTCTATCGCATC